TTTACTTGGTTCGAGTTTCTCTCTCCCGTCCTCTTTTCAAGTTCCACTCTTTTTTGTTAACAATGACGACCCTCCACAATAGACCTTCACGAGGTAAAAAACAATTTCGTAACGAGAAACCTCGAGGACTGTCAGCCTATACTTCATCTCATCCGTTTCATTATAATACGTTTCGTACTTTTAGTTCTTACCCTAGGCTTTTTAGGGGTTTCCTGAAACCTGTACCAATTTTAGGGACGTCCCGAAACCTCAACCAATTCTTAATCTGAGTTTTTTTTATAGATTTTTTGAAATATGAGTCCGATCTTCTTAATCCAAGCTTTTTAGGAATTTCTTGAAAGTTGAACCAAATTCACTTTTTAGTAGATATTCGGATCTCTAACCTCTTTCATCGAAGAAAATATATTTTAACTAGTTGAATTAGTTAAAGGTTAGACACAATCCTACAAAACCATAAAAAAAATCACAATATATAAATTTAAAATAATGTATTTATAAATTTTTTAATAAATTATGTATTTTTATACTTTTTAATAATTTCTAAAATCACTTAAAAAAAACATAACGACCNAACTCGTATACTCTATGTCTATAAATATGTTCGAAATAAATAATTATTTATGACACAAATTGTTTATAGAGAAATTTAAAAGCATTAAATACACGTTTATTAATCAATAAATATATATATATATATATATATATATATTTTTTATGATAAATCTTATTATAAATAAATTATGAATTAAAAAAATCTAAAATAAATAAATAACTCTGCTACGATTGGAAAGTGGGCCCCACGTAATGGGATTCTTGTCATAGTTGCATTTCTCAATTGCACAAATCATGCAATTTTAAAAAAATAATTCCCCATAATTTTTCAAAATAAATAAATAACTGTGTTTTTCGGTAATTTCACATGAAATTTGTTCCTCAATAATTGCTGATTCATTAATAAAATACATTAAATCTAATATTATAATTATAAAAATTTAAATAAGGTTTATAGTAGATATTTTTAAAATAAGGTTACTATCCAACTCAACTTTACCGTACTTTAATAATATATATATAAATGCTTGTAACCCATGTTAATAATTCATCGGAATTTGTATATATTTAATATTTGAATTTTATGAATTTTATGTTATTAATGTAACATATATTGTGAATAAATAGTTTTTTAAAATAATTTTAAAAAACAACCCGACATCTTTATTTAACCCAATTAGATAACAGAGGTCCGGATTGGGTTGAGTTATAAATTTTATTCAGTTGTTCATGTCACTCAACTAATTTGAAATAAAAATAAACCGTTAATATTAAAATAATAATTTTTACTATGTTGAATAACTATTCGTACAATAAATTTATTATTACAAGAATAATTATTATTTATAAAATAAATGATGAAACAATATAGATTTTCAAAGAAAAAAAAAATGGCCAAGTTGTATTAAATTTCAAAATTATTTTAACCATGTGAATAATCAAGTTGATGTAAGTTATTATTATTATTTTTAATTAAAAAAAGGTAATAATTTATATGTATACCTTAGCTGTTTTTGTTTTGTTATTTGTCTATAAAAAAATATTAAAAATAACAATTTATCTCTTCTATTGTCAAAATATTTAATTATTCGCTTAAGGACCCAAATGCAATTAAACTCAAATTAGAGGACTAAAAGTATATAATAAAAAGTGAAGATTATGGTCACGTTAAGGATCTGAATTCAGCAATTAATGGTCTCGAGATTCTCCGACATTTCATGTAACTTGAATCGTTTCAGTATGTTTTGTTTTGACTCACATGCATCTTAGAAAAAATCCTAGGAGGTTATTCAGAATGTGCATTTTATCGGTACAGGACAGTTTTAAACTTTTCTTAGTCATCTTATTCTCAGGATCACTCTCATTCAGATATAGTTTAGGGTTTAGGGTTTAGGGTTTAGGATTTCGGATTTTAGGGTTTAGGGTTTCAGATTTTAGGGTTTAGGGTTTCGGGTTTAGGGTTTAGGGTTTCGAGCTTTAGGGTTTAGGATTTCGAGTCTTAGGATTTAGGGTTTCAAGCTTTAGGGTTTGGGGTTTCGGGTTTTAGGATTTAGGGTTTGGAATATTGGAAGGCAAGAAAAGCAATTCAGTCTAGATAGTCTAAACATTGAACGGAAAACAAGTTTCAATCAAAACTTCTTTTTAGCCTTTTTCTAACGCTAATAACTTCGGGAACGAGCGAGCAACAATATTTTCATCATCTCTCGTGATGAAACTATGGTATGCAACAAAATTCGATAATTTCTTATTTACATTAATCATTCAAAATCGTATGTCGAAAACGTCTTTTAAATCACTAGTTGTATAATACAAATTTGTTAAAATGAAGAACATCGTTCAAAAATCAATTACGAGGGGCAAAATGGGTATTTAAGATATTAAGAGAGAGAGAGTGATATGAACCAGAGGACATTAATCATACAATGTGCTTCAATGAAGATGTGAAGAAAATATTGTTGAAATTATCAAAAGATATTTCAATTCATGCCACCTTGAAGAAGAATGAAGTTTCATGTAATAAATTTTGGGTGAATTACAATTTAGAGTTATTGTATTTCATTAATGTATTTTAAGAGTTTTTATTTACTCTAGTTACCATTAGTTAATTATGGTCATTAAGTATGAATGTAACAACTCTTGGAATGTCCTTTAATAGTTTCATTTTGAACCTATGTATATGGTACTGTGGTTCTTTATCTTATCAGAGATAAAGTTAACTTTTTGCCAATAGGGGCTTGTGGGGGCCTTCTCTAATTTCGACCAAAGTTTTGGACTTTTTTGTGAACAAAAAGAATTAAGTGATTGGTTTAAACATCCACCGTCCTCTTTTGTTCATCCACGTGCGTAGAAATTAAATAATTAAACAATTTTTGTTCGTAGTATTTTTTTATATTGATTAATAAAGATTTAAATCTCATTTAGATAAGGTTTGGATTAAAAAAGAAAAGTATTTTTTTTTAATTTTCTCTTTAATTTTGTACCTAAAAATATTATAACGACATGTCTGGTGCCTGCACTTTTTTAAAAAAGAATAATTATCTTATAATCATGGGATGCCCGAGTAAAGCACCTGTTTATTACTACATATATTAACAAAGTGTACTTTATGTCTTACAATTACGACTTTAATAACATATAATTTGAACAAGATTTTGTCTAAAAAGACGTTAATTTCAACATAAAGATTTAATTAAATATCGAGGTCGAATAATTTTTTATTTTTTATAAAAAAAAAAAGACATATATTAAAACACAATAATGATTTTGACCACTTTTGCTCTATAAATGGAAGTCTTAATTCAATTATTTAGCCTTTCGTTGGAAGAAATATGGAATAATTTCCATCATTGTGTTATCTTGACAGCTATTTTTGGAAATTAATTTTTTTAAAAAAATAAAGAATAGTTATTGAAATATATGTTTTTACCCATTATTTTATTTTATATAATCATTTATAAAAATGTGAACCTTTATATAACTTGAAATATAAAATATTTTCAAATAAAAAATAGAGCGAAAAAATGGTAAATACATTATTGGATTTAATTAATTTGTTTTTTTTTAATTATTTTTAAATTTTTATGTATTAAATTAATTTAATTAGATCTAGGAAAGATTTGATGGATAAACTTATTAACTAACATGTTTTTGGAGAAATTAAGGTATGGTGAGACGATTTTTAAAATTAAAATGGTTTCTAATTTAATGTTAATAACTGTGATAAAATTAAAATCGTTTTAATTAGTAGTTATTATTGATAAAAAAATAGTTGACTAAATTAATGAAAATAATTTATCTAATTATTTCAATAAATACATTTAAATTTTTAATTTTTTAAATAATATATTTTTTACTGTTAATATTACGGTAGCATAAATATCCTTAATCTTTATTAAAAGATTTTTTTTAATATCTACTAGCGGTAGACTTGGACCATTAGAAATGGTATTAGAGGTAAACACCAGACTATATGCCAGCGAGGAGATTGTTCCCTGAAGGGGGTAGACACGAGGCGGTGTGCTAGTAAAGACGCTGGGCCTCGAAGAGGGTGGATTTAGTAGTGGTCCCACATCGATTAGAGAGAACGAGTGCCAGCGAAGCTGATGAGCCCTAAAGTAGGGTGAATTATTATATGCCGTATTGGTTGAGAGGAGAACGAGTACCTTTGTTTAACGTGGTCTATGTTGAAAATTAATGTTCATAGTCCAAACTTCCATATGCCTCGCAGGCCTATTAGAAATTCAGTCATTGGGCCCTCTTTACAGATCGGGCCCAATACATACATTGTGGGCCCATAGCCCAATGAATGTGATTATTTTGGGCCAGGCCTTTAGTTCCTAAAAGAGAGCCATTTGATTTTATGTACAGCCCAGGCCCAATAATATAATAATATTCCGTTCCCTGGCCCATTGCATTTCATTAATATGGGCCAGGCACTGGTCCAAAACGACGCCGGAGGATTCATATTTTTTTCAACACCAAGTTTTACAAATTCGAGACGAGCTTTCCATTTTATCTCTGCAACTGCGACGTGGCAATCTTCGGAACTCAGATACGGATTTGTTGGCGGAGATTCAACTTCACTTCCGAGCAACTTTACGCTTGAACCGCCGGCGGCCGGCGAGAATTATGGTTTTGTAGTAGGTAGATATGAGGTCATAGGAACGAAAAGGAAGGAGAAATGGAAGGATTGGTGGTTCGGTCACCTTTCGTTTCAACAGGGAAGAAGTTTCCTTTCTCACCTTTGCTCGATTCTTTGCCGAGTTGTTCTGCTTCTGGCAGTGTATTTGCGAAGACCGTATCGAAATCGCGTAACCTTCTCTTGAATTATCTCTCTTTCCTTATAATTTTCAGTTTTGGTTTTGATTTTGCATATTTCCAAACGCTCAGTGTTTGCATTATAAGTAGATTAGTTACTCATTGTTTGGTGAAACTGATTGTTTGAGAGTTTCTTTGAGTAATTTATGGACGATTCTCGTTTTGACTGTCTTAATTTTGTTGTGATTGTTTGAGAGTTTCTTTGAGTAATTTATGGACGATTCTCGTTTTGACTGTCTTAATTTTGTTGAATGCTATGCGTTTTCCGTGCATTCTGTGAACATATTGAGCGAGCAGTGAGTGTGTTGTTGACAGTGAAATGTAGAAGAGTAACGAGATTGAACACGAAGTATTGAGCGAGCAGTGAGTGTGTTGTTGACAGTGAAATGTAGAAGAGTAACGAGATTGAACACGAAGTACGGTAAAATCAGAGCGCATTCGTCGAATGTAAGTATCGGATCCGATGGATACAAGCACGAGGAGGAAAAGGAGGGCCAGCATGTTATTTCCAGCAGTGCACCTGCTGATAGTTCATCTAAAACGTGAGGAGGAAAAGGAGGGCCAGCATGTTATTTCCAGCAGTGCACCTGCTGATAGTTCATCTAAAACGTGAGTTTCGTCATTTTTGTTTTGATTTTTCTGAGTTGTTGATATATTAAAATTTTGATTTCTGTGACTATGGCTTGGATTATGCACCATATGCATTTATTTCAGAACTCCAATTGATCTTCCGGAGCAATGGTTTATGGCTTGGATTATGCACCATATGCATTTATTTCAGAACTCCAATTGATCTTCCGGAGCAATGGTTATAAAATCGAAGGTTTCGTTGAAGGATTTTTTATTCTTATTATCATTTGAAATCAAAATTCTACTAATCTGGTTGNTTCCTCTAATCCATTCGATATTTGAAGGGCTGTGATAATGTGTTGTATTATTAAGAGGCAGTCAAATTGTAGCAACCTGGCTGAATAAGTTTTTAAGCTAATCGAGTAAATGACAACCTTATTTGTTGTGTAAAATGATGCTCTCACCTTGCTTTATAATTTAGTGAATCGAGTAAATGACAACCTTATTTGTTGTGTAAAATGATGCTCTCACCTTGCTTTATAATTTAGTGAATCCGGGACACATTTTTCTCTCATATGAACCTACATCACTTCTTCTTCACTCATTTATATATCTTATATTGTTTTGGCAGTGAGAAGTCTCCAAATGGATTGCCTTATCCTCTTTCTATTGCGCTAGTACTAATTGGGTGCAGTTTAGTATTCTCACTGATTGCCTTTGTGAAAGGAGGACCATCGTCAATCTTGGCCGCAGTCGCTAAGTCAGGGTTCACTGCTGCTTTCTCCTTAATATTTGTCTCTGAAATTGGAGACAAGGTGACTTTTTACATTCTTGGAACTTTGCCTTTATCAAGGTTCTCAATTCTCTGAAATTGGAGACAAGGTGACTTTTTACATTCTTGGAACTTTGCCTTTATCAAGGTTCTCAATTTTTTCCTATTGCTAGAAGGATTGTGCATAAACACACAATCCATAGAATAAATTACAGATGAATAAAAGAAAACAATTCAAAAGACTAAGATATGAGTTCAATCCACTGAGACTGGAAGTTTGAAGCTCGACCTTGTTACATTAAATTTCAAAGAATTAAGCGAAGTAACCAAAATATTCTAAATTTTCCAAATGTTTACTGTTATCATTAAATTTCAAAGAATTAAGCGAAGTAACCAAAATATTCTAAATTTTCCAAATGTTTACTGTTATATGGCTCTACTTCTTTCTAGCATCTTTAGTGTCACATCCCCTTAGAACTTTGAAGATATTGTCAGCTTATACCTTATCTCTTTTGGACAGACATTTTTCATTGCTGCACTCTTGGCCATGCAATATAAGAAAGGACTGGTATATCCTCTGTCGCCAGACATTTTTCATTGCTGCACTCTTGGCCATGCAATATAAGAAAGGACTGGTATATCCTCTGTCGCCCTCTCTCTGTCTACAAAAATGCATCTGCTATTTGCACCATGTTTTTCTTTTCCTTTGTTCCATATGGCTTGATTCTGTGGGTTAGGAATTGAAAGTGCTATTCAGGTATTGAATTGTTGAGCAGGTTCTGTTAGGATCTATGGGAGCTTTAGGAATTGAAAGTGCTATTCAGGTATTGAATTGTTGAGCAGGTTCTGTTAGGATCTATGGGAGCTCTTTCACTTATGACAGTCCTCTCAGTTATAATTGGACGGATATTTCACTCAGTACCTGCTCAGTTCCAGACAAGTAAGCTCAACTGCTCTAGAATAATCTCTTTTAACGTACTGCCTTCTTACTTCTTTCTCTGTTAGGACAATAACTTTGGCCCGTCTTCCTTATATTGTACTAGATACGATTCTGCTGAGACGATCGACATTTATTGTTGAAACCAGTGCATTTTGTTCTATTAAAAATTCAATTCTATATTTGATATTTTCTATCGTAACAAATAATACTTCTCCTACGCATACTCTTAGGTCCAAAATCTTAACTATATTTACGTGCTGTCGTTTGTGTAGCTTTACCAATTGGAGAATATGCGGCTGTAACTCTTCTATTGTTCTTTGGTCTCAAGTCCATTAAAGATGCATGGGAACTTCCCTCGAGTGTTCCTAAACAGGACAACGAGAGTCCTCCAGAACTTGATGAATATGTTGAAGCAGAGGAGCTTGTTAAAGAAAAGGTGGATCCCCAATCATTAGTTTCCTCTAGATTTTGAATTTTGTTTTGTTAAGGCTTGGAAACTGTTGCTTCTGGGTAGTCTATTTCATATTTGTCTGACTTTGTGACTAAAATTCCTGATTCTACCATATGGTATATCTTTTATAATTGTTTTCAGGTTTCAAAACGGCTCTCCAATCCTCTTGAAATCATCTGGAAGTCGTTCAGCCTTATATTTTTTGCTGTGAGTAGCTTTTAATCATTACTATTTCAGCAGAAAAGTATAACAAAAGCATAATATTTTAGATCGAGTCCACAGCTTTTAATCATTACTATTTCAGCAGAAAAGTATAACAAAAGCATAATATTTTAGATCGAGTCCACGTGTAAAAATTCATTATAGGAGGATATTTCGTTCGGCCCTTTTAGATCATCAAAAAGGGTATTGTAAACATATATATACACCTTCCCTCTATCACCTTTGCGCATCATATTTTGTAACTTAGACGTGAATGGATATCATATTTAGTTCATCGACTTAGGGACAGTCCCATGGGGCATTTTTAAAGCTCTTTATGATTTTCCCAGAGTATGTGTTTACATTTTAAAATTTTTGTATGTGCAAATACTTAAGTTTGAAACATTTTGTTAATGTTAGGAATGGGGTGATCGCTCAATGCTTGCAACCATTGCTCTTGGAGCTGCACAGGTTCGATTTTCTTTATTTAGAAGCCTGCAATATACTTCATTTGGTTCTCTCTCGTTTCATTTCAAACTTGCGTTTTTCTTTCAATTTCCACTCCACAGTCTCCTTGGGGCGTGGCTACGGGAGCTATCACTGGACACCTAATTGCAACCACCATTGCCACCACAGTCTCCTTGGGGCGTGGCTACGGGAGCTATCACTGGACACCTAATTGCAACCACCATTGCCATTCTAGGAGGAGCACTTCTTGCAAATTACATTTCTGAAAAACTGGTAGGAGCCTAACTCCTCTCACATATAATATGCCGTTTGATTCCTTCATCATTGATGCAACAACTCACTCGACCTTCAATCAGGTCGGCTATGTGGGCGGTGTACTCTTCTTGATTTTTGCAGTAGCAACCTTTTTCGGAGTTTTCTGACTATTGCACGACATCGAGTTCACTCTTCTTGATTTTTGCAGTAGCAACCTTTTTCGGAGTTTTCTGACTATTGCACGACATCGAGTTCTTCAACGCCCTATGGTCAGGTCAATGCATTCAAAGGCTCTAATGCTAGTAGCCACAGTGAGAAGAGGAAGAAAAGTGGCTTAACGTAGGTTATTGTTTCTTTTCTTTCTGATGTTTATGATATAATCCTTTTCATTATTCTCAAGCTTCATAATTATGATTTCGTGTGCTTGTCGTGAACAATTTTCTTTCCCCATATGGTTCGTAGTGGAATTCAGATTTTTGCCAATAAAATTTCATTTTCTGTTATATTGATAGTCACTGCTCATTTTCTGTTATCTTGATACACAAAAAGATTGCATGGATCCATGAGGCTGTGGTCGGGTGCCTCGACAAGTACGATGTGTCACTCGAAGTCTCTCGAGACTCTTGAAAATAGATCACAGTATAAGACGTTATTGACAAAAATGATTCAATTTCCTCCCACCCATATAGGTTATTTGATTCTATTGAATGAGTTCCCCTCTTCTACGTGAGATGGGGCGTCAGACTACATGGCTAAGTTGCCATTGCTCTTACCACAGGCTATGATAAAAAAAAGTTAATAGTTTCTATTAACTTTTTTTTTTTATACATAAATTTTGAAAACATATTAAAAAAAAAATTAATGTTGATCTAGATTGATGGGAATGCAATTGATCTAGATTGATGTTAGTTGAAGAAGGGACACCTACGTCTCACATTGACTCCGAAATGCTCTCCTACCGATGCATTTTTTTACATTCTACAGCTTTGGCAGATCACTTAGCTTTGTTCATCTTCGGTGCAAGAGCGCTCGATCAGTGAGCTATTATGCACTCTTAAGGGTGGCTGCTTCTAAGAAAACTTCATGGCTCTCTCTACACCCTACTTGCTTTATCACTTAACGGTCATTTAGAGGCCTTAATTGGTGATCTGAGCTGTTTTTCTCTCGACGATGAAGCTTATCTCCCATCGTCTCACTAGCCAACCTTTGTACCCCTACCTCCTTTATCACTGAGCTATCGTTTAGGGGCCTTAGCTGGTGATCTTGGTTGACCTCTACACCCCTACCTCCTTTATCACTGAGCGGTCGTTTATGGGTGGACTGTTTCCCTCTCGATAATGAAGCTTATCCTATCCTCCATTGTCTTACTGGCTGACTTTGACCTTTATTATCTTGAGATCATATCTAATTTTTAGAGTTTACCTCAATTGTTGCAATTATAAAGACACTTTTTTTGCATAAGTCAAGAATGTCCCGAGAAAAAAAAAATATTTTAACCATTTATTAATCAAAATGCTTACAAAATCCATATTTTATGCTATAGATTATAGATTAATCACTACAAATTACAAATTTATTTGCTTTCCTTCACACCATCCAAATATAGATCATAAGGATTACAAGAAAAAAAAAAAAAAATCATTAATGGCAAAATTACGACAAGCCATGATCTCTGCATAATATTCATTATGCTAAGACGTCATTTTTAATGATACAAATCTAAATTCCGGAAAGGTTAATGGTAACAGCTAAATTACCTAAAACTCCCTAAATAATGAATGAAGATGAGGATTGGCACACTCCCTTTTGCTCTCTTTTGGGGATATTCAGTCCTTAAGAATCATTCAACAACTACACACCTATTCCTTCTAAATGTACCATTTGAAAGCAACCCAACAATTCGTTTTTCAAGTCTTCTTGCTCCTGAACCAGGCCTAACTACATCTGCATCTCCCCATACTAGACATGTATCATTCCCCGGCTCCCCCAAACACCACCCACCGGGCACGATGTGTCCAGGGCCACGGTTCAAGATCTCAGTATCAATTCGGTTGAGCACTGGATCGTTCAACTGAAATCTTGTTGCGAAGGCTGCTCCACTCTCGATCATGAGAACGTAATCAGAGGGGCCAAGGAACTGGGGCTGTTCTTTGGGAGGCTTGTCAACTATGGCATATAGTAGGTTGTCGTTAAGGACCGTCTTGTTGAACTGGTGAGAATTACAGAGGACGGTTGGAAAATAGTTCAAGTGGCCAGATTGAGTATTTGAGAAGTACATCAAAAGAGTCCTGGGAAGATTATCTGTTCCAAGAACGCAGAACTCGACAACCTGTCGACTCACGATTGAAAGAGACGAACCTGCATAAGAGAATGCCAAGAACGCAGAACTCGACAACCTGTCGACTCACGATTGAAAGAGACGAACCTGCATAAGAGAATGCTCGGAGAAGATCTCCAGTTTCAGTTCCAGATGATAAGAGAGCTTCTTCAGGAAACATTGAAGTTCAAACCCAACATGCGTAACTAGATATCAACATTTATGTTGAATTCAATATCCAAGCTAGCAATTACTATTAGATAGCATAAAATTGAAAAGACATAATACCAACTGAGATATTACAACATTTTATCAAAACGGCAATGACAATAGCATCACGAGGATGCCGTTGTTTTTTAGTACAACAAATGTGGGGGTTGAAAAATCACGAGGTGGCCAGTTCGGTTCCGTGTCGGGGAAAAATCATAAAAGGAGGACATTTCCAAGTCAAGGGAATTTCCATTTCCATTTCTAAGTCAGAGAGTTACAAAATACTCTCCCCATTGACATTAGCAACTAGAAAGAAGCTAAATAACAGATCTAAAACTACATATACGGCTTCTCATCAGAGCCACCACCATTTTCATATGAATGGCCAATAACTTCAAAGTACGATCCATATTTCATCTTTTTTGTTCTTTCTTTACGAAGAGACGAAAGACTCAATCATGGGAGTAAGACCAGTTTGCCACTTACAATACTTTTCCATGTATTTAAGTTATCTACAAAGGATTCTACCTGTGAGATCTCACATCAATTAGAGAGAGGAACGTGTGTCAGCATCCGCTAGGCCCCGAAGAAAAGTGGTTTGTGAGATCCCACATCAGTCGGAGAGAAGAATGAAGCCTTGTTTATAAGGGCATGGAAACCTCCCCTAGCTGAGACATTTTAAAAACCTTAAGGAGAAGCCCGAAAGGGAAAGCCCAAAGAAGACAATATTTGCAAGCAGTGGAACTTGGGCAGTTACGCTATCCATCGCTCGGTGAGAATTATGTTACAAACAAAAATTATACATATTAGATTATCATAAATAAATTTAGCCTTAGCCTTTTGATCTTTTCCTTTCAAGCTTAACCGAGATTTTTGCAACTCATTTCTTTGAGTTGCATGCCATTTCCAAAGAACATTTAAGTAGAACTGACCATGGAATGTTTAACTCTTACACTAATGGAACTTGTCTTTGTCTCAAGATCTGTGATTTAGGCAATCTATGGCACCTAGTTCTTTGGTTGGAAGGTATAGTGTTTGAGAATTAGGAGTTTGTAAAGAGAAAAACCTATAATTTACAATACCTATGGAGTTTATAATCTTCTTGGAATGGGCCCATAATTCCCACTAAAACTGCATATCTTTACTTTATAACCAAATTTGCACTGTTCCAAGTTAGAACCCATAATCCATACGAGCTATTGAAGCTCCGCAGATAATCAAGCATTCAAAAGACAAGTAATGAAGAAGGCCTACCTGTAAACAACTGGAAGGCATTAGGCAATTCCCTCTTTTGGGTGGCATAGAACATGGCAGTTTTCTCAGAAAGATAAAGCCCTGGATCAACAATTATCGGCTTCAATTTCCTAGCCCTTTAGCCAACACAAGAACAACAACAAGAATTGGCAGCTCAGAACGAAGAAATTGGAGAGTAAAATGGTTTTGGAGTCTGAGAAAGAGTGATCATCTTACTCTCTCCACCCAATGTAACTCGAATGCGTTACGAAGTTCATATCCTTTGGCAGAAATGACAGAATGTGAAGAAGATCTAAAGAACACAAAGAAGAGCACTCAATCAACAAAATTCTGAATCAAGAAAACTTCCATCCAAAGCGAAAATTTCCAGAAAACATACCATCTTGCGTGACAAGTGGGTAATCATCGGCAGTGAGACGAATAAACCAATCCCAATTCGGCGACAGCCGGAGGAGCAGCGAGGCACCGTGAAGCGTCGAAGAAATTGTCGACGAGCCTTTGAGATACACGAAATCGGCTCTACCGATTACATCGACATTCTGAGCAGCTCTGAAGATGGGAATCGCTTCGACGGCGACGGCAAGAGAGTCGCGCTCGGATTGAGGAGCGGAGAGATCGAGATGAAGCAGATAGTGGTTTCTAGGGTGATAAACAGCGAAAAGCAGCCGAAGCATCCGATTGGAATCGCCATTGGATCCGGAAATGAGATAAGCAATAGAAGGAGGAGTGGGATCGGAGGAAGCATTGCTGCTACGAAAGACGGTCCGGTGAGTCTGGCGAGTCGGGAAGAGAAATGGGTCGGGTTTGGGGTGGTGGAGGACGGCAGAGGCGGAGAAGGGGGAGCGGCGGGAGGAGGAGGAGATGGAGAGAAAGAAAATGAGGGAGAAGAGGGCGGTGGCGAGGATGATGGAGAGAGTGGTTTTGGAGTCTTTGAGCGCGACGGCAGCGGGAGACGGAGCGGCGGCGGGAGAGGCCGGCGGGGCCTGCATTCTTTTGGGGCGAGAAAAAGTGGAAATGGTGGTGGTGGTGGTGGAGATTTGTTTCTTTGGCTTTGATTTGTTTCTTGGTGAAGCTGATGGTGATGTAGTGACCGCCATTGTTCTTTCTTCTCAATTCACCTTCCCAACAAAATAAATAAATAAATAAAAATTATTAATTTGTTTTGGTTTTGAAAATAAATAAAAAAAATTTAAAAATAGATCGCAACATAATTTGATTTCAATAATTCTTAGTGCCTCACCTCATTGATTTGTTAATATATATATATATATATATATATTATTTAACCAAACCAATTTATACTATAATTATTATAATTTTAAAATATATATTAAAATTAAGTCAGAATTTTAATTCAATATTTGAAAATAAATAAAAATTTATGAATATTTAAATTCTATTTTTAAAATAAAGAAAATGATGTACTAATATAAATATTTAATTTTGATTTATTAATAAGAAATTAAAATATGAGAAGGTTAAAAAAGTAAATTAATTAAAAAAACGTAAGATTTAAAAATTAGACCTCAAATAAAAACCAATAATTTGGTTTGGGGTCGGGAATGGGAAAATTAGTAGGTATAGAGTTCTCCCGATTAGATAAATGGAGCTAGAATGAGAATTACATTACCGTACGAATTTTTTTACTTATAAAAATAAATAATATATTAATTTTTTTTGGCTAAGATTATATTATAATATTAATATTTGATGGTTTAAAAATTATATTTTTTCTATTTTTTTTAATAAAAATTATATTATAAAATAAAAGTTATGCATTAGAAAAAGTTTATCATAAAGAACAATTTTTTAAAAAAAATAAAAAAAAAAATTTCGTGGAGAATTTTTGCCTAATTTTAATAAAAATAAATGGATAAATTAATTATAATTAATAAATAAATATCTTATATCCATAAATTTCAGGCTAGTTTTGAGCATTTAAAAGCGAATGAAACGAAATGAAGGCGACGAATCCAATTATCCGTCGGTGGGATTAGAGAGAGCGATGAATTCGAAGCAAAAAGAAGACGAAGAGCAGCGACGGCGATGGGGAGCTAGAACGTGGTCTACACTCGCCGCCGTGCGTAGCCGATCGCCGCTCATCCAATGCATCACCAACTTTGTTTCGATGGATTTGGTGGCAAATACTCTTTTGTCTGCTGGTGCATCCCCGGCCATGCTTCATTCTATCGAGGAGTTGCCGGATTTCACTCCCAACGCTGATGCTCTTTGTATTAACGTCGGCACGCTTTCCGCCGCCTGGTTGCCTGCCATGAAGTTTGCCGCTGAACTGGCGTTGAAGGCCGGGAAGCCTTGGGTTCTTGATCCGGTTGCTGCTGGAGCTTCTAAGTTTCGGATGATGGCTTGTTTGGAGCTTATGCAGTTGAAGCCCACCGTTGTTAGAGGGAATGGATCGGAAATAATCGCGTTGTCTAAAGCTTCCACGGAGTCCAGTATGGTAGGTTGCAATTTGATTTTACACCGGAAATGAATTTCGGTACGATTGTTCCATCTTCTCTGCTTTCGAACTTCTGCATGCAAAGTTGCAAACTAGGTTACATCCATGGAAGAGCTTTGTGTTTGGTTCCTTTTAATCTATCGGTCTAGCAGTTCAATTTTAGGGGAAGCTTATTCCGTTCCGAGATCTCACTTTTTATAATCGGAGCATCAAAGTCCCATTCCTTAGATTAGGCTTATCGTCCATCTCACGGCTTCGAGACCAACTCTAGGAGAAATTGAAAGTTATATGGCTTGAGCCTTGAACCCAAATTTTGTAAGTGTTATCTCTAAACTTTTCAAGCCCTTACCACCAAGTGTTTGAGATTTCAAGTTTTGATCATCAGCTCATCTTTGCAAATCATAATGAAATCCTTCAAGGAATCTAGAGTTTTAAGCGGCAAAATCAATTTTGATATCTCTTACTCTACTAGTTAAGTAGCAGCTTAGTTGTCAAAGTTGATCTTACTTCTTAGCCTCACTTTTATTATGATTTCAAGGGCGTGGATAGCTCCCATGAGTCAACTGATGCTGTAGAAGCTGCTAAATCATTAGCTCAAAACAGTGGAGCCATAGTAGCAGTATCAGGAGCCGTGGACATAGTTACAGACGGGAAGCAAGTTATTGGCGCTCATAATGGAGTGGCCATGATGCAAAAGATTACAGCAACAGGATGTTCAGTGACAGCTCTTATTGCTGCCTTCCTTGCTGTTGATCAACTTCATGCTTTGGAAACAACAGCTTCAGCATTATCGATCTTTGGAATTGCGGGCGAGATGGGAATGGATGCAGCAAAGGGCCCTGCATCACTACGAACTCATTTGATTGATTCGCTATATGGGCTCGATGAAGCTGCTGTAATCTCACGAGTCAAGATCGCCAGCTTGTGATTAAATTTTGGAGGGGTTGTTATTTATGGTACAGTAACTACTCTTAAACCTTGTTGAGTATGTACATTACTTCAATGTCCAATAATGTTGAAAAGGTTGGCTAGCCTAAACTTTTCATTTATTTATCTGTTCGCCCTTTGATTCTTTTCGATGAAGTCTATAACTCTGATCATCCTCATAAATTTGTTTTGTTCTTTTGATGCTGCTCTTTACTGTGTTCATGATCATGTATGTTATATCACTAGGGTGTCTCATTAATCACATTTGATGAGATACTTCCTTTTAAATTTTATCATGAAATCCAACAAAGTTTACTCACGATATGATCACAACAGAATTACAACTTAGAAATATTTAAATTTTATAATACTCGATTACATTTTTTGACTTGCTGCTGCATTTGATAGAAACTACAGACCATGATTGCATTCATAACCTCACATAAATTGCATTGTTCTTTGTTCACCATATTGGTTTTCAATAGCTTAGATGGACAATGAACCGCAGCAATGTTTCTGCTCCATCAGTGACGTGCTGGCCAGGAGGAATGAGCGAGCGCACCTCTGCAATCCCACGTGCGTGCTTGAACTTGCCAGTTCCTCCAGTCACAGACAAATGTGATGAGGGGCTATTAATCCTGAATACTCCATAGAAGTTGAGGCTGTCACCATACTCTCCTCCTTCAACCATGGCCGTAAATGCCATCATCTGTGTAGTCCCATCAGCAGAACTAGCCACATACACCCCTTGTGCCTTGCCAATTAACTGTGAGCCCAACTCCGGTGCTGTTGTCAAGATGTCATCGATGACGGTAATTGTTCCAAAGCCTAGTCCCAACCCATCAGGTCCCAATTGGGTCTGGGGAAGATTTTGTGGGTTGGGATTTCCAGCAAAAGCTGTACCAGACAAGCCAGTCCCTAGAGGGATCCCATTGTTGCCGTTAACAGTGGGGAGAGCACCATTAGCATTTGGAATTGCTATGCCATCGTCTGGGGGAAGGAAGTCTATAGGTGTGGCAAAGGGTACTTGACCAGTGTATATGTTCCCCAGTAGGCCAGTAATCGGTCTCGCTGTTGGGCTACCACCGCCGAGAATGTCATGCATGTAAAATTCAAGGACAGACTCCTCCCCCCCAGTATTAGCGGTGACAGCTGCAGACTTAAACGCCACAAAATGCACCACAATGATCGCCATTGCGATGAAGGCGCGAGAAGACGATTGCCTGAACATGTTGCAGAGTCGGTATGCAGAGCTTCTCTTGCTTGTAGAACTCAGAGGATTGAATATTCTTGTGGTGATCTGCAAAGAGGTATGAACTCTACTCTTTATACACTGCTGAAAATCTTAGATCAATTTGGATTTTGGAGTTGATATGAACCACCAAAAATGGTGAAGTTGTTGGATCTGTTCTTGAAGATATGCATGCTTTTGATGAATTAGTTCTTGGAATTAGCTTCGGCCATTATTTTCAGAATTTTCATAGTTGAGTTGAGTAGGTAGGTTCCTGAAGATAGCTATTATTCATTGTGGAGGGTATAACCAAACCAAATACATCTTATAAGAAATAAATATTAGCATATAATTTGGCAGTTGGATTTTTAGTGATATGTTTAATCTGTTCCACTTTGAATTCCCTTCTACATTGTCATCAGGGAAATAATATCTAATTTTCTATTCTTGAACTCGATTGGATGGTTTTTTTCGTGTTGAGATCGATCATTCAAATAGATGGGATAAACTAATGTGCTTGGATATTTTAATGAACTGGATAGAAGAGTTATCTATCGAAAGAATGCTCTTATTGATCAGTTCATAATGAAGGTGAGATGTTTAAAATAATTTTCAGTTTTTGGAAAGAATAGTTTTAAAAAATAATTCTTTGGATGATTGTACTTAAATAATTTTAAAAACAAAAATTTAGTTCAATCAGCTCGTGTATATATATATATAAGCGGGTTGACTGGATTTTTGCTTCAAGAGTTCATGGGTGCGATTCAAGAGAGTTTTGAAGGAAAGGTCACAGAGTGCGGAGAGGATTGATAACTTACCCGAGGATTGATAACTTACAACGGGTTGTTCTTGACCTAATAAGAACCAATTATTATAGTGATAAATGAATAATCTAATACATATATCTACGGGATGTATCTAACTTTTGCGACTCTTTAAATATGGGTTTCTTGAGTTCATTACAGTTCAAAGGCATTTGATGAATCTTGCGACACTTTTTATCATTTTCTATCTTAAGATAAAGAACAACAAGAACAGGTATTTAATAAAAAATGGATGGGACAAAATAATGAGGATACAAAAATAAAATCTTCCCGAAGTTCTGAAGTTCATTGTCAAGGAATTGCTGAACCATTTGCTTCTTGCACACCTTCTTCATGATTCCTTACTTTTGCCTGTCTCACCACTGGAGAAATTAATGTCCACACTGCACAAACAAATGGCGGAGAATAGTAAGAAAATAATCAAGTTCGGATGTAGCAATTGTCTTGTGAGATTAGTCGGGAATTATGAGTAGATATCATAGAAATGTTTATCTTAACTATGAAGTCTAGAACGCTATGCAGATCCACCTTGAATGTGACAGGGAATGTAGGAGAGAGCGGGAAGAGTTTCTCCCAGTTGGTTGAATGAGATGGAGTCATTGAAAAATGTGTTGATAATTTTGAATTTTAATTATTGTTTTTCTTAGAATATTTTCTAATAGAAACAAAAAAGGAAAAAAACTTCTGGTATGAATTTAATCCTTGCAACAATAAAGGAAGAATTTTACGAGCATAGAAATTGAAATAGGCAACGGGGATGTGGATGGAAAAGTCTTGTCCATCCCTATTCCATCCCGTGAACATCTCTAGATATCGACCGTGAGTGGTTTTTTACTAATCATAGCTGTTAAGCCAATTCCTAGACCTATAATACTATACTGTCTATCAACCAATTGCCACAGTAGAGTGTGTTTGGAAAAGGACTGTACTTACAGTATATTGAGGCTGCAAGCCATTCATTAATGATTTTAACCCATGTACTTGTCCATCCAACATCCATGCTCCACCTAAACATTTCACAATTGTATAAGAGCGATCATGAGAATCACATAGATCACGAGAGAGTTACGGGCGTAAATGGTTCAGTTCGATCCGGTTCGATCTAATTGACTAACTTTAAAAACGAAATCAAATATAACAATTCTCACACACCAGCCAAATCAAACTAAGCATTTTCAACTTTGAGAATCTTAAAACGAAACCGGTTGATCGAATAATCATAGTTTGATCTTGGTTTGGATGGTTTGGTTTATACTTGTTCAGGTTTTAATTTGCACTCCAATATTAGAGAGAGATGATGTAACAACCCAAATCCACCGCTAGTAGATATTGTCCACTTTGGCTCGTTACATATTACCGTCAGTCTCACGATTTTAGAATCTATCTACTAGGGGAGGTTTCCACACCATTATAAGAAATGTTTCGTTCCCTTCCCCAACCGATGTGGGATCTCATAATCCACTCCCCTTGGAGCCCAGCGGCCTCGCTGGTACACCATCCAGTGTCTGGCTCTGATAACACTTGTAACAACTCAAGTCCACCATAGCATATCGTGTCCGCTTTGACCGACATATTGCTATCAGCCTTACAATTTTAAAACGTGTCTACTAAGGAAAGGTTTCCACACCCTTATAAAAAATGTTTCGTTCCAATCTCTAATCAACGTAAGTAAGATCTCATATATGAGTTTGAGGAACAACAATGTTGGTTTGAGTTTTCTTACTTTGTGGCTGAGTTGTTGAGGTTCCAGCTGATGAAGAGCATTGCAAAGTACATGGCTCCCAGAGAGAATATGATATGGAAAAAACCATACTTGTAAGGGATGTCATCTTCCTCTTTCGCCTTGTCTTTACGAAACTGCGACGGACCAGAAACTCACATTAGTTGTCATTCTGCTGTTTTATGCTCAAATTTCTAGAAAAAATGCATTCTAATTCGAACAAAGCAGATCTTTAGTTGTAATATCTCAAGCCCACTGCTAGTAAATATGGTTCACTTGGCTCGTTATGTATCGCCGTCAACCTCACGGTTTTAAAATGCGTATGTTAAGAGGAGGGTTTCACATCCTTATAAGGAATGTTTCGTTTTCCTTTCCAATCGATGTGGGATCTCACGATCCACTCCCCTTGGGGACCCAACGTTCTCGCTGGCTCACCGCTCAGTGTCTGGCTTTGATACCATTTGTAATAGCCCAAACCCAAGCCCACCGCTAGCAGATATTGTCCGCTTTGGCTCATTACGTATCATTGTCAGTCTCACGGTTTTAAAACGCGTTTGTTAGGAATAAGTTTTTACACCCTTATAAGTAATGTTTTGTTCTCCTCTCCAACCGATGTGGGATCTCATAAACCATCCATCATGGGGACCCAGCGTCCTCGCTGGCACATCGCTTGGTATTTGACTCTAATACCATTTGTAACAATCCAAGCCCAAGTCTAGCACTAACAGATATTGTCCGCTTTAGCCTGTTACGTATCGCTGTCAGGCCTCACGATTTTATAACGCGTTTGCGAGGGAGAGGTTTCCACACCCTTATAAAAGAATGCTTCGTTCCCCTCTCCAACCGATGTGGTATCTCATAATTCACTCCCCTTGGGGACCTAGCGTCATCGCTGACATATCGCTCGGTGTCTGGCTCTAATAGCATTTGTAACAACCCAAACTCAAGCTCATCGCTAGCAAATATTGTCCGCTTTAGCTCGATACGTATCGCCGTAGCCTTACGGTTTTATACCATGTCTACTAGGGAGAGGTTTCCACACCCATATAAAAGAATGTTTCGTTCTCCTCTCCAACTGATGTGAGATCTCACATTAGTAGTACCAAAAAAGTTATCGAGGACGAACATATTCGTCGATATATTGATATATCCGTAAATCGGAGGGTTCGACATGAATAACATTGGTTAATCGATAATCATTTATGATCACTCATAAATTATAAAAGAATATCTACCCACCTCAAAACAAAATTGTTACCAAGCGAAACCATAACTTTCTATTGTACGTTCTAATAAAACTTTTAGACAAACACTTGAGGATGGAAAGTCAAAAGCGACCTGAAATGATTGTGAATCAATACCAGTTGAGAAGGTTGCCATGACAACTGCACAGATAGCAATTAAGAAGCTCTACAACCACAACACCAAGGAAACGCACAAACATCAGCTAGAGAGGTCAAATAAAGGAGCAGGGTGTTCCTCAAAGTTTGAACAGGGGAAGCTAGAAAAGTGAAAAAGAGCTGTAAATTCTCACAAGTATAGTAATCCAGTCACTATTCCCACTCTCTTGCTTCTGTGCACTGCATTTCTCGGTCGCCGGTTCGCTGTCAAGAAACTCGCTAGGATTAGAAGTATAGTAAACCAGTTCCATGTTCATCATACAACTTCAAAGCAGAAAGCCTATATCACAACACAATGTTGAATCCCAAACCTTCTAATGGCAGACCAGCAGAGGAAGACGACATACGAAGCCATGATACCGGACGATAACAGACCTCTATTGACCTGAGTTTTAAAGTTCCAAAGATAGTTTCAAATAAAAACTTCCCATAGCTGTGATAATCTAGCTGAATATGAGTAAAATTTTGTGGTGTGAACAAAAAGGGTGATTTTGAAAAGCATACCTTTGAATGTAAAGACACAACCATCATCACAATGAGGAGAATCAAAGTCCAAGAAATGAAGAATATATTGAGAACACATCTCAGTTTTGGAACATATAAGGAGTACATCAAACCGATCCCGCAGAATGAAGCTATGTAAAAGATCGTCGACGTGAATAATCCAAGCGAGCAGCTGTTGAATATGAATGAAATATTGTGGAAATTGATGCTAAACATAGGTAAATTCAAGGTTTTTGAATTTCTGTACTTTATTAGAGAACATACATCTGCTTCATTTTTTCATCAGGCATCCAGTACTTGTTCCACCATGAGATAAACTGGATAACACTTACCAGTTGGAGGAGGAGAAATATCCTGTTCATGAGAAGAAAACTAAAGGCACTCATATTTTCAATAAGAAATAATACAGATAGAATTAACAAGTTCATCTTAAGCTATGGGAGTGAGGATGAAAGAAATATAGTCAGTATTAGTATGAAACTTTGAGAATGATTTATATTAGAACATTATATGAACATACGGCCGTTCTCAAATGCCAGACGTATAATGTGAGAAAACAAAGATGGAGATGTCAGATCTCACGTCGGTTGGGGAGAAGAACGAAACATTCTTTATAAGGGTGTGGAAACTTCTCTCTAGTAGACATGTTTTAAAAACTTTGAGGGGAAGCACGGAAGGGAAAACCCAAAGAAGACAATATCCGCTAGCAGTGGGCTTGGACAAATGGTATCAGAGTCAAACACCGGACGATCGGCCAGCGAAGAGGTCGAGCCCCGAAGGGGGGTGGACACGAGGCAGTATACCAACAAGGGTGCTGGGGCCCGGGGGGGGGGGGGGGGGGGGGGGGGGGGGGGGGGGGGGGGGGGGGGGGGGGGGGGGGGGGGGGGGGGGGGGGGGGGGGGGGGGGGGGGGGGGGGGGGGGGGGGGGGGGGGGGGGGGGGGGGGGGGGGGGGGGGGGGGGGGGGGGGGAGGAGGGGGTGGATTGGGGAGTCCCACATCGATTGGAGATGGGAACAAGTGCCAGCGAGAACGCTAGGCCCTGAAGGGGGTGGATTGTGAGATCCCACATCGGTTGGGGAGGAGAACGAAACATTCTTTATAAGAGTGTGGAAACTTCTCCCTAGCAGACGCGAACGATTTAACCTTGAGGGAAAGCCCGAAAGGGAAACCCAAAGAGGACAATATCTGCTAGCGATGGGCTTATTCCAAAAGATGCTTGAGAGATTTAGCTTTGTAGATGTAGAATTTGGACTTACCCTGCACCTACACGAGCAACTTCACCTGCAAAAAAGGAGGGGGAAATCTAGGTAATTTCATTTAAGCAATGGAATCATTATTCAGTTCATGTTTTCAGTAAATGTTGAGATAGCAACCCAGGTAATGGATGTTGAACAAACGGAACATACCATATAATTGGATAAGAGCTGGAGGGAAGAAGAATGGAACCAACATTGAAACAATAAACACAAAGAACTTCAAGCTCCACCAACTAGAATGCCAGACATTTCGAGGTTCGTGTAATTTTCTTGTTCTGGACGTAGAGAGAAACATCAGAAAGAAAAATATCTGAACTTGTAGTAAAGGATTTGGCCCTTCAATGATACAATGGTGAGGAACAGTTTGGCTCAGTTTTCAATTTGAGATCGTAACAACTGCCTGACTTTTGTGGATTCCAACAGACATGGTTTGGAAAAATTTAAACGTTGGCTGATGATATTGTAAAAGACAACTCAACTCTATTGTCATAGTTAACAATGTAACAATATTAAGGAACTGATTGCAAAGGAAAGTGTAACGGCCCAAGCCCACCGCTAGCAGATATTGTCATTTTTGGGCTTTCCATTTCAGGCTTCCCCTTAAGGTTTTTAAAACGCGTCTGCTAGAGAGAGGTTTCCACACCCTTATAATGGTATCAGAGCCAGGCACTGAGCGGTGTGCCAGCGAGGAGGCTGAGTCTCGAAGGGAGTAGACACGAGGCGATGTGCCAGCAAAGACGCTGGGCATCGAAGTTGGGGAGGGGAACGAAACACCCTTTATAAGGGTGTGAAAACCTCTCACTAGCTTACGTGTTTTAAAAACCTTGAGGGGAAGCCCGAAAGGGAAAACCCAAAGAAGATAATATTTGCGAGCAGTGGGCTTGGGCTGTTATAGAAAGACTATCTCGCCTCTTCCTATCTTATGAAAAACAGAGCCACCTCAAGAGAAGAGCAGAAGAAATATTCTTATTCTTATATGATAGAAAAGAGAATAAAAAAGATACAAAGCATCCTAAGCTCACACGAAGAACTCCGAGTGTGAGAAAACAATCTTGTCCTCCTGCTCCACAGGATTTAAGATCTGCAGGGACATTCAGTTACCAAAAAGAAAAATCACATATAAGCCGAGGATCTTAATCTTCGAGCCGAAATATACTAGTATAGTTTACTGGAAAATGCACGAAAGTGAAGTTTCTGAATGACATGTACAGATATTGTCCTCTTTAGGCTTTCCCTTTTGGGCTTCCCCTCAAGGTTTTTAAAACATGTATGCTAGGGAAAGGTTTCTATACCCTTATAAAGAATGTTTCGATCTCCTCCCCAACCGATATGGGATCTTACAATCCACCTCTTTTAGGGCCCAATGTCCTCACTGACACTCGTTCCTCTCTCCAATCAATGTGGGATCTCACAATACCCTCCTTCAAGACCGAGCATCCTCGCTAGCACGCCACTCGGTGTCTGTCTCTAATACCATTTGTATCAGTCCAAACTCACTGCTAACAGATATGGTCCTCTTTGGGCTTTCCCTTTCGAGGTTCCCCTTAAGGTTTTTAAAGCACGTCTGCTAGGGAGAGGTTTCCACACCCTTAGAAAGAATGTTTCGTTCTCTTCCCCAACCAACGTGGGATCCCACATGTACACATACTTCTGAATCAAAACTTACACAAACTTGTAAACTTCAATATCTTCTTTTCAGTTATTGTAATGATGTAGTGAATGTAAATCAAAATGAATGAACAAATGAAAGAGAGATTTTCCTTACAACGTAGCTGAGGTATAATCCTTTTCCCATAATCTCGAATAAACCAAGCAATGAGATTCGTCAACAGGAAGATAACGGCGTATACGTAGCGAACTCGCAAGGACTTCTTCTTTTCACTAGCATAATCAGCATTTGGAGTTCCCCAAGAAACAAATTCAGAGTTTCCTTGTCCGGTATGTACTCCTCTACCTTCACCCCCTTGGCTCATTCTGCAGTGTCAAACAGATAGATAGCTACTTATTCTCCCTCAATCTCAATCTCAATCATTAGAGGACAGACAAAGAACCAGGAACAATGATGAGAATGTTTTCTGGTGCTAAGAGAACAGAGAAGAATGCTTATGGTAAAGTTAAGAAACTCACTTTTGCTTCCCCTACTCTAATGTCACACAACTCATATAAATCTACAGCCCATATCAAACGCTCCTTAAAAGGACAAGGAAGAAAGCAACAAAGTAATGGTGCAGGCAGTCTTCTAGTGAGAAGAAGAGCAAACAAGATATCGTTAATGCAAAGTCCAAACCAATCTAATTTTGAATATATCAATAAAACAAGTCTAAATTGTCAAAAGGTTACTAATGAAAATGATAAAATCCGAAACGCTCGAGATGTCACTAAACAAAAAATTTAATAATAAAGTGTAGTATTTCACAAGTTACAAGTACAACGTTTCACAATGGCATACTTTATTTTCTTACCACTTTTGGCCTATTCTTTTGACGTTTTGCCCTGACAGCTCATTACCTTTGAGACCTCTCTTTTCTATTATCTTCAAGTAACAACTTTCTTGATTGAGAAGATAATTGATTTGATAAACAATTCTCTGAGGAAAAATCAAAGAAGCTGCCATAATGAGAAGATATTGTCACATGAATTCGGAAGCTCTCTCACCAAATTCTAAAGAACAAAGTCTTTTCCCAATCAACAAGAACTCACCTCCCTTTGCAGAGGAAGGAACAGCTTTGTCGGGCTCATGATTTTCCCCGTGGCAGTGAACAGAAACTTTCACCACTTCCTTTCATATTCTCTATCACATTGTTCTTACCCAAACATCATACAAGAACAGAAAAGCAAGATTACCCTTCATAAAAGACATGCTATTTAGCTCATTCACCATTCATCAATATCAAAACATGTTTTGTGTAATGTGGGTGTCTGTTTTTTTTTTTCATTTTAAGTCAGATTCCTTAAAATTTTATTAAAATCAATGCTGTCGGTTCGTCGTAAAATCGACCCAAATCTGAGCAATACTGCACCAGCTTGGCATTTCATCAAACAGGTAGTGAGCAAGAAAAAAAAACTATGAGATTTGAGCTAATGGAACATAGTTGGTTTGATTTGATTTGATTTCTCTACAAAATATGTTCCAATCAAAATGTGAACACATTGATTTCTCTGTTTTTTTAATGTAAAACCAAGCTACAAAATATGTTCCAATCAAAATGTGAACACATTGATTTCTCTGTTTTTTTAATGTAAAACCAAGTCTTTACAAGGGACCCAAGCAATTGAAAAAAAGCAAGAAAAAAGAGTAAAAAGTGTAAGATTCAATATGAAGCTAATGGACAAACAAGGCAATGACAACTTCCTTTTGACTAAACTACATTACTTACCTGAAATCCTCCCCAACTTTGTTGAAGCGTATAGACCCAACTTTTATATTTAAGGCCTTTGTTTTATTTCCCCTTCTCTAGAAGCACATGGTTAGTGCGTGGCGCCTCTCCTAATATAATATAGGTTTCAAATTAACATTAAACATTAATAGTTTCAGTGTAGTAGTTCAAGCCTATCACTAATAGATATTGTCCACTTTGACCGGTTAGGTATAGTCATCAGTTTCACGGTTTTAAAACGCGTCTGTTAAATAGAGGTTTATACACCATTATAAGAAATGTTTTGTTCCCCTCTCATCAAGCGGGATCTCACCGTCCATTCCGTACATTATTTTCATCCATATATTGACTATAAGAATTTTTTAACTTTTAAATTTTTTTAAAAATTTTGGTATTTTTGGGATTTTTTTTTTAATTTAAGTGTATTATTAAAAATTTTGAAAATTAATAAAATAATAAAATATAAGACATCTATATTTTCCTGGGCCTTGGGCTTTAGGCTGATGGGTTGGAATAGTGGCCCAGCCCAACACTAAAAAGTTTGGAGTCTGAAGGGCAAATCCGTCAATTAGTATAAAACCGTTCAATTTCTAGGGCACGGTGGTCGTTGCATCAATGGCGGGAAGATTCTGAGATAAGAAATCCGCCAAAATTCACTGACATTTTATTTTTTGTTTTTTTGAAGGATTTAAAACCCATTGAATTCATTTCAATTTCCTCACATGTCTTTCCTCGAAGAATTTCAAGCCAGTACGTATTATGCTATTTCCTCTTCTCTTTTGCTGCAATTTCGCAAGATTGATTAGTTGCGAAACCCTATCTCGATTATCTGTTAGTCGTTAGTTACTGTAATTCGTTCTAGTTTTTTTGATTTCTTCCTCTGTTCTCTTTCGTTTCAGTGTATTATTGTCTTTAATCCGTGCGTTGAACAGATTTCTTCTCTTTCTTTCTTTTTATCCGATCAATTTTGTGATGAATGTGTCAGGTTCTTGATTTATCGTGATTGCTTTCTGTTCTGGTCTTAGGATTTTAAGCTTTTTGTGGGTTAGTGTCTGTATACTCATGAGTAAACTGGTTTGATCAAGTTAACAATAAGATTAGAGTGATAAGAAAATGGAAATAGAGGGCGAGAGAGAAGGATGATAAATAGAGATTTGAAAGCATCTATCGTTCAATTGGGTCGCACGGCCAATTCAAGCATAACTTAGTAGATATAACATCAATTATCATTATAAAGGTTATATTTTGATCTCTTACTTCTGCAATTGTCGAACTAAACGAAGAAAAAAGGTCACTCAGTAACTTTTTAACTGAAGATATTCAGTTTCTGTGTTTTACATCTTTGTTTTGTACCTTTCCACAGATCTGGAATCACTACCCAACATTCTTCAAAAGAAGTATGCTTTGCTGCGTGATTTAGATCAAAGTTTGCAAGGTATTCATTAATTCTTATTCGTTTCTCTCTTGTTCCTTTCTTGATTCTTTGTCTTTTTTTTTATGGACGTTGGGTGGACTTGGAAATAACCCCAAACTCTTTGTAAGCTCTTTTTTATTGATGTCTAGAATCTGAAAGTAAATGGTCTCCTATGTCACCGTTATTATACTCTATGGGTTACACATCTGTTTTTCTCTGTTAAATTTCAAGAACGTTGTTATGTTTGTAAATGCAGGGCTAGTGAAACAGAATGAGCAACGATGTGAGCAAGAAATTGAGGATATTAAGCGGGGAGTTAAATGTGGAAATATTACTCCTGATACTTCACTCATCCGATTCTCTGACGAAGCTCTTGATGAGCAGAAGCATAGCATTAGAATTGCCGATGAAAAGGTTGCCCTTGCCGTTCAGGCATATGATTTGGTATGTGGAAGTTCAATGTAACTTGTTTAAGTTGTATTTGCTTTTCCATGATGTCGATCGATTGCGACTTTGAACTGAGGCACTCTCCGCTTCATGATAATGATTCGACACTAATTTTCTGCTCAATTCAAGTTAATATAAGAAAAGAGATAAATTAGGCCACATTTGATAACCACTTGGTTTTTTTTTTAAAATATGCTTGTTTCTCCCAATTTTTCTTCAATGAGTTCCATCATTCTTAAGAAAACATTTGAATTCTTAACTAAATTTAAAAAACAAAAACAAAAACAAAATTTTGAAACTACTTTCTATAGTTTTAAAAATTAGCTTCATTTTGATAAACCAAATGGTTATCAAATGGAGGCTTACCATTTTTACAAAATGCATACAGGGTGTATGATATTTAATCGATATACTGAGGTCTTTTTAGTGTTTGCAGTTTTGCACTTGTGCACTTATCTCCTCTAACCTCTTGTTTGGAAAGAACTACTGTGAAAGAAACTTAATGTTTAAACTTGTCACCGACTCATACATGCCCTAGAGTGAGGAGGTATGAGGTAGTCTCCCATGTTTCTCTTAAGGTCTCCACTTTCTTCTCAATGTCTGACACAGAAACTAGTGCCTCATCCTTGACCACCAGTGTCAGATCTTGATATTTAACATAGAAACTAGTTCCTTATCCTTGACCACCACGATCATACCTTCGACAAACCTCTTTTCTTTTTTATGCTTTGTTGTTACAACTATTGATGTTTTTTTGTGTGTTTTCTTTTGTTATTTTGGCTGGAAAAAGAAAGGCCATCTTCTTATTGTTTATATTCTTATCTGCATTCTTCATTTATATTGTGCTTCAGGTAGACACTCACATACAACAGCTTGACCAGTATTTGAGGAATTTTGATGAAAAGCTTCGTCATGGTAGTACATGCGATTCCACCTTTGATATTCTCTATGCTTCAGTGAATATGTAGCACAAATACATTTATCTTTTTCATTTTGGATCCAACTCCCATCTTCTATATCATGGTTATTTGCAGAAAGAGGGAGTGCTGCTGCGAGTGGGTTACCAGCTTCTAGTCTGGATGGTAGTACAAAATCTGGACGGGGAACAGAAGGTGGTAGAGGAGGGCGTAAAAAGTAAGATCATCTTCTACATGATTAATGTTGAAATTATCTACTGATAAAAGACACAATTTACTTTATGTTACATAATTACATTACTGTTTATGATGAATTGGGAATAGTAGTACATACTACAAAGACATTTATTTTATGCATGTTGGGCAAGAGTTATAGGACATAATCTGTGATGAAAATTATTTTGTACAGAACCCGGCATGGCCAGACTGCGGCTGCAGCTGCTGCAACAGAAGCGTCTGAAAATTATTTTGTACAGAACCCGGCATGGCCAGACTGCGGCTGCAGCTGCTGCAACAGAAGCGTCAACTGCTGCAACTCTCACAGGAATGGAACTCGAATTACCGGTTGATCCAAACGAACCAACTTACTGTCTCTGCAACCAAGTTAGTTACGGGGAGATGGTTGCCTGTGATAACCCTAATGTATGTGACAACCCTTTACCCCTCTACTTACATTTTTTTTTTGTGGTTTGAGTCTATAATCTAAGCCAGTCTTCCCATTCATACAGTGCAAGATCGAATGGTTTCATTTTGGCTGTGTTGGTCTAAAAGAACAACCGAAAGGAAAATGGTACTGTTCAGATTGCGCGGGCTCGAAAGGTCGCCGAAAAGGAAGATAATACAGGTATCAGATCAGCAGTGTGCTGCCTTATTTTATATGAAATACATTAAAGTCAAATGTAACTGCAGAATCCTGCTCAGCTAGTCCATAAATTACTTGCAATTCCAATCCTTGTAAATACTGTTTTTGCTTCTTTAATGCTGGTTTTTTAGCGGCTACAAAAGTTCTGTAATTGTAGAATCTATGGCAGTAGCTCCAAATCGTTTGAGGCCCCTTCTCATCCTGGGAAGTTGATCAAGTTTCTTCAAGAAAGTGTCAACTCATGAGGATTTGAAGTGGGCCTTAAAACCATTTGAAGATACAGAATATGACCACTGTTTTTTAAATTGTAAAACACACTGATTTGATTTGCTGCATGGTTGGGGATAAAAATAGAGATGCTTAGGCGTCTTTGGATGTTTGTTACGAGGAGACATGAAGTGTCCAATTTTGACACATTTGTGCTCGTGCACCTTGGTTTATGTACTCTAAGCTAATGTACAAATTAGCATCAATCAATAAATGGTAGATTTATAAATTTTGTGTTTTTCTCTTGATTTAACAATGTTTGAGATAGAAAATTTGATCGTTTAGTTGAAAGATCATGCAAACTAATATTTATTAACATATTGTAGTCCTAATATTATTTAAATATATATATCATGTCTCAAACTTTGTAAATTAGAAACATGTATTCTTCAAAGTTTCTTAAGCATTTGAAACGTTGTATCAATAATTTGACCAAATAAGCTCAAAACTTGGCATACATATAAAACCAAATTGACTAAATGGATGTTCAATATTAGTCTTATACAATTGTGAAAAAGAATGTGTTAGAGCTATACCCTATGAATCAAATATATAACGTAGTAGCATGTCCTCCCTCCTTTTTAAGGTCGGAAGTTCAAATCATTATACCTCACATTTGCTGTACTGAGTAAAAAAAACGGTCCAAAAGCAAAATCACTCCTCAAACATGAAAACTTATTAATTACAAACCCTACTACTTACAAGCAAGCATTATCTACAAACACAAAATCTACCTTCCATTATTATGCTAAGGATCAAAAGAACATGCGACCTAAAACCAGTACCAAATCCTATGACTCAGCAAACTTCTGTACACAGCAAAACAGCAGCCTCTACAAGAAAGAGCAAACAATCATTCGTCACCAGCCGTTTGTGACCCTTTTGGCTAATGTCTTGCCAGAAGACAAGATTCAAGGAGGGAACTAATTTGATTATGTTACTTTAAAGTGGCCCTGTCCCACCGTCCTTCTCAGCATCAGGTATGCTTGAGTACGAGGTGAAGTGATTCGACATCTCCCAGCTCCAATCTTCATTCCTCGACACCAACATCCTTGGCCATTTGTTAATCCTCACATAGTGTTCTCTGATCTTCCCATCACTAACAATGGTGGTTACAGTGGAAAAGCAGCATTCATGGCCACCCCATACTCTGTCATCAGGATCTGCAGTTTGGCTCCCATCGAGATGGAAGTAACGACGCATGAGATGGTGGCTGCCTTGCCAATACGGATCAAGATCCCGCCAGTATACAGGAGCTTCCTGAGAGGAATGGAAATCAATTCATCAGAAAGGTTCCTTAATGATATGGATGTGGAAACTCTGGTCAGCGGTACATTAACTTGAGATACATTGGCATGCAAGCACAAAATTGGTAGACTGTTTTGAAACCAGCTAGAGCATGATATGTTTTTAACCACACACAATTGCATTTGTAAAAAGGAATTTAGGTACTAAACACTTACCAAGACATCCCCTTTACCTCACCGTGCTATCAGAATTGTGAGCATCAACATAGACATTCCGAGAGCAAGTAAGTCACGAACACGACACAGCACGGATGTGGTGGCACATGTCAGATACAGACACATTGCCTAAACTAAAGTACCCATGCTCCATGGGCTTCCAAGTCCAACGAGCTTTTTGTGCATGTTAGATGATTTATAACATAATCACTAGCATGGCTCTCAAATTGTGAACATCGTTCATGAAATTTGTATTACTAAAACATCCATCATCGGGCATCTAACCTCTCTTGCAGCTAATCGTGTGCGCTGTTACATTTTCAAATTTCCAGATGGGAATAAATAGTTTATGTGCAACTAATAAAAGGAAAAAATATTAGATGAAGACAGCATGAATCTCTGTAAAATGCTTAGAAGTGGTCAAATGATGTTTATAACATAACCAGATTTGATCAATCATAAAACACAATCATCATGTAACAGAATTTCATACAGTTAATTTAGGACTTCAATGTATGTCTCCTAACCAGGTTGCACGGCATTTAATTCATTACATGAAGGTTAAATGTCCAAAACTAAAAGGCATGCATACCTTATTGAAGTGAAATTTCCAAGCGTGGTCACATAAATCCTCCCTCATAATGCGAGTCTGACACAACAATTTAAACCCATAAAAAACGATAGTCAAGTAATACCTGCTCCTCATTCTCCCATGTGTTGGGAGTATATGTGTAGAAGTAGACCATATTCTTTTTTCGAACATTGATGACAAGCAGTAGATGCACGTGGGATCACACAATTATACATAAAGAACGTATATATACATATATGTTGGAGGTGGAGGGATGGAGAGAGAGACTAACCCGATTGCCATCCATGACAGATAACGAATAGGCAGCCATCTTTGGAAGACCTCGGGTTTGCGCCAATCTAGGGATATGTGCTTTCCCAAGCCACAGTTCCACACACTAAGAGAAAACACCATAAACTTGTTTACCAAATGTTCAATTATACAGTGAAGAATGCAAGTTTTTTTTTTGTTGCTACACCATTTTAACAAATTTGTAGAAATTTTTATCATCATATCCCAGTGTCAAATAAGATAAGACATGGCAATCTGTCATTACAATCCCTTATGCATAACCATGGATGGTGTAAGATCTCACATCGGTTGGGGAGGAGAATGAAACATTCTTTATAATGGTGTAGAAACCTCTCCCTAGCAGACGCGTTTTAAAAATTTTGAGGAGAAGCCTGAAATGGAAAATCCAAAGTGAACAATATCTAGCGGTGGGTTTGGGCTGTTACAAATGGTATCAAAACCAGACACCGGGTGATGTGCCAGCGAGGAGGTTGAGCCTCGAAGGGAGTGGACACAAGGCGATATGCCAGCAAGGAAGCTGGGCCCGAAGAGAGTGTATTGGGAGGTCCCACATCGATTGGAGAAGGGAAAGAGTACCAGCGAGGACGAGAGGGTGGATTGTGAGATCCCACATTGGGTTGGGAGGAGAACAAACATTTTTTTTATAAGGGCGTGGAAATCTCTTCCTAGCATACGTGTTTTGAAAAGCTTGAGGGGAAGTATGAAAGCAAAAGTAGCTGATAATATCTGTTAGCAGTGGATTTGAGCCGTTTCAGTATTTCTCTAAAGGATCTCATGACGACAAGATTCAGTACCTAATAATGGCTTTTGTACAAAGTGGTTTGGAGTGAAAGCACTTCTTATATGCAGTTCGTGATGATCCATCGAAGTAGAAAAGGCTCAACTCAGCAGAAACAGAGTTCATAAATTTAAGATTCAAATCCCAATGTGAGAAAAGATTACACAAAAGAATGAAAATCATAGGATTCCAGAACCCCATTCTACAACAGAGGAACGCAATTCTATAAGCAAAAACGAGCGAATCGACTCGATTAGCACTGGAATTACTAAGACCAAAGAAAAAATCAAATACAAAATCCAATTCCAGAGAATCGAACAAAATCAAAAGCACCATAACATCAACGAATTAATGAGAGTAAAGATGCACACCTTAGAACTCCATAGGGAATCGCTGGAAGCAATTCTATACCAGGATCGAGAGACAAGAAGAGAAAGTGCCACGCTGCGTGAATCAACGTAGCCCAGAATTGCCAATAATAGATCAGAACCCAAAACCTCGAAAGGGTCTTGGAGAAGAACACTTAGGGTTCCATTTTGTTGGCCTCGTTCATCGGAGACATTCTCTCGCATTTTCTTCCTTGTTTTCCACCGTATTTCGGCTCCGAGTAAGCCGCAATGCGCCATGAATTCAAAGCTGGAGAGACAAAGAAAGGATTAAAGGAGAAGGGTTTTGAAGAGTGATGAACGCTCGGCGATTAACGTGGATTAATTTGAAGAGAGAAAGAAAAACCTCCGGATGTTTTGATCATTTTTTGTTCAATTAATAAAAATTAAATTGCAATTTTAATTTTTACGCCACTTTTCGCGCCTTAGTTAGCTTTTCTGCATATACCTCGGTTGGTCGGGGTTGGTAGGTTTGGGGGTACTTTTGTCATTTTTCCTAATCTCGACTCTCGCTAAGAATGAACCAAGAAACAAAGATAAAAGCAATAGAGCGAGAGGGGACCAAGGTCGGAGTTTGTTCGGTCTTTTTTTTCCTATTTCGATTATAGTCTTTGACAAATTTGACCGCAAGAAATTATGTATATATAAGTAAGAGACAGTGCATTCATTAACAAATTTGACGGTTAGATTTTCGCATAAGTAAGAGACATAGAGAAATTATGTATATATAAGTAAGAGACAGTGCATTCATTAATACGAGACGTTTTAAGAAAATAATGAAAGCTTATACTTAAAGTGGACATGACGCCTTGTTGTTCCTCGATCTCCATGCCTTCTTATACTTTATCTCTCTTGTTCTTCATTCTTCATCTTAGATAGATTTATATATATATATATATATAAAGTCACTAGGGACTATTAATAAGATTTTATCAAATTTTGGGATGAAATTTTAATTTTTAAAATTAAATATCCAATTTTAACTTTCACCCCACTATAATACCCAATTTGTAATTTAAGTGGATTGGAGCAATTGTTCCCTCCGTCGCCGGAAAGCTGCTGCCATTAGGTTTCGGTCCGGTAGATTATCTCTGATCACCGCCGCATCCTTGAATCTTTCAGTCCAAGCATACACCTTAGGGAACTCGTTGGCGTCCAGCAATTTGACGTTCACCACTTCTTCAATCACTCCTATCCAGTGCGCAATCCACCCGAACGCCAAATCCGTCATTCCGATCTCATCTCCGCCGAAGAACTTCCTCTCTCTGCCATCGCCACCGCGGAATCCCCATTCCTCGACGGTTCTCAGCATCTCTAAGCTCTGCTTCTTGGCATTCTCCTGTTCTTCATCACTCTTCGCACGGAATATCATAAAAACCGCAGGGCCCTAAAATTACCAAATCTCCGATCATCAAATTAGCGCCACCATCGAATTCGCTTAATTTCGATTTAACAATAAACACATTCATTTCAAACGGATCGAAAATCAACCAGAATCATGATTTTACCTTATCCTCGATGAATTTTATCCAGAATCTCGCCGTCGCTCTCTCAAAAGGATCCGACGGAAGCAGCGGCTTCTCCGGCCAAGTTTCGTCGATGTACTCGAGGATGATCATGGATTCGCAGATCGGTTTTCCGCCATGGACGAGCACCGGAATCTTCTTGTGAACCGGATTGTAGTGCAAAAGCAGAGGGCTCTTGTTGGAGAGATCTTCTTCTACGTACTCGTAGGGAATACCTTTGAGCTTCAGCGCCCAAATCACTCTGTAACTGAAAGGGCTCGGCCAAGTTCCATGGAGCTTCACTTCTGCCATTTTCAATGGAGGATTCAAGTTGAATATGAAGGAGTAAGGGAATCGCTTTTTATAGTGCTTTTTTTGGGTACCCTTTCTTGGGCTGCACGATTCAATGCTCTGAAAGTCCAATAAAATATGATATTATATCAAAACTTCTTTCAATTTATTTTTTAAAAAACCCAATAAATTTTATATTTTAAAAAATATAATTAACTTTTAAAACTTTCATTAATATTCTTAATTTTTAAAATCATGCTTTAAGAAAAAAAAAATAATAAAAATAAAAAAATAAAAAATTTAGAGATAAGCTCCTAATTTAATAAATATTTAAACAAACGCATGAGCTTACGTAAGGGATTTGTAGACAAAAAAAATATTTATTATTATTATTATTATTATTATTAAATTATAAATTCGATTTGTCGGATGTATTTAAATAATAGGTTATTAAAATTTTAATTTTAATTTTGTAGTAAGTTAAAAAATTAATTAATTTATTAAGTATCCAAATGTTTATCAATTAAAAAAAATTGAATTTTAAATAAAATTAGAAAAAAGAGATATTTTTAAGTTTCAATAATTAAAATTATACTTCAGCTTTTTTAATAAATAAACTTACAAATAGAGTTCATCTGAATGACATTATGATGAGTGCCAAATTTATTATTATTATTTTTTTTTTTTGTATGATTAAAAAAATATTTATTAAATAACCATTTTATTTTTTAAAATTTAATTAAAAATAATAATTAATTTTCTATCGAACATTTTTCTCATTTTTAATATATTTTTTAAAGAATAATTTCTATTAAAAAAATATAAAACGTCCCAATAAATAAAAATAAACCATAATTTCTAAAAATTTAAAATTTAATATCAAAACACAACTTTTATACTTAAAAAATATATTTATTTATAATTGAAATTTCAAATTTGATAATTTTTTAAATTGACTTGCGTGCCTTGGCCGGTTCACCAACTCCTCCTCTACTTAAACCCTAAATAAAAAAACGTCGGCGAAATGGAAATTAGGAACCAGAAGTGTTACCGATTCGTCTCAGATTTTCGCCATTGAAGGATGGGAGGAGTGAAGCTCCATGGAAGTTGGGCGAGTCCTTTCAGTAACAGAGTCGTCTGGGCGCTGGAACTCAAAGGCATACCCTACGAGTTCGTACAAGAAGATATGACGAAGAAAAGCCCTCTGCTCCTTCACTACAATCCCGTTTGCAAGAAGATTCCGGTGCTCGTCCATGGCGAAAAGCCGATCTGCGAATCCTCCATCATCCTTGAGTACATCGACGAGACCTGGCCGCAAAAGCCTCTGCTACCGATCGATCCTCTCGACAGAGCCACCGCTCGGTTCTGGATCAAATTCATAGAGGACAAGGTAATCATTCCGCAGAGAACTCGTCAATAATGATGTTATAAATGTTTCTTAAAGGCAGTTTGAAGAAAAAACTCATTCAATTGACCTTAGATTTACCAAATCGAAATAAATACTTAAATTACCTGAACCAAACAAGAAAATATGGAACAGGAAGCAACGATGAGGAGGATTTTTGTAGCGAGAGGGGAAGATAAAGAGGAGGCGAGGAGAGCGAGCTTGGAAGTGCTGAGGACGGTCGAGGAGAGGGGCCTCGGCGGCGGCGGGAAGTTCTTCGGAGGAGATGCGATTAATATGGTGGATTTGACGTACGGATGGATCGCAGTGTGGATGAAGGTTTTGGAAGAAGTATTGGATATGAAGCTGATTGAAGGCCCTGAGTTCCCTCGCCTTCAAGCATGGGCGGAGAGTTTCCGAACCGCCGCCGTCATCAGAGATCACATTCCCGACCACCAAAAAATGGTGCTACATTTACGGCGCCGCCGTGAGGAACTGCTTCTGCCACCAAACTAGTTGCCTTTTATTTAACTCTTTCCATCTTAAAAAATAATATTAAACCAATAATTTTTATTTTAAAATTTAAGTAAACTTTTAATTTCCATTTTGCATTAATTTTATTAGAATTAGTAAGTGAATTTTCATGAAAATAACAATTTTGTTCCTAATTTTAAATTTAGTATGTAACAATATAATCTCTATACTTTATAATTAATGACATAAATAAAATAATAAAAATTAAAATTTGATATAAATTTTACTACAAAATGGACTAAATTGGAAAAGTTATAAATAAATAAAAGTTTAGGCATTACTTATTTTTTACGTTACAATTTTTTTAGGTTTTTTTGGAAGCTGACCACAAAAGATCTTAAAAACATCCACATAGACTCGTCGAGGAAGCTATTTGTGATGAAAAATACCAACACGATGGCTTGTATCGAGACAACTTAGATCTCCCCGTGCATATTTTGTTGACTTTTTTGTCCAACATATTTCAATATGTTAAAGCTTGCGTTGGGAAAAGGCTCGTTAGGCCAATGCAACAAGATATCTCGACCTGCTCTCGAGTTTGAACGAGATTCATCAATAAGACTCGATCAAAAAATCCGAAAAATACACCAAAAAATCATACTTTTCCACCCCTAGTCGATGAACTTAATCTTAAATAACGGGCGAAATGATCTATAGGGATTGTAAGAAATCATAAGCTTAAGCACAAAAAAAAAAAACCCAATATTGAACCATAAACAGCCCGATTGAGATGAAAATTTTGTTGAAGAGTTCAAAAAAACCAAGCTAAATCTTCGAGACCTATGAATCCAAATTCATTTATGGGTGGGTTTTCGAATTTCTATACACTGATCGTTCGCCATTTATCCAGCAGAATGAATATACGTTTGTTCCTCTCACTTTCCATCGTTTGTTCATCCTTGTCTTCTTCTCCAAGTAAGTTCATACATCTCTCTGTCGTTCTTGCGATTCCGCCGCATATGGATATATGATTGTGTTTCAGAGTAAGAGTTCGTTTGATAGTTATGGAACAGATGGCGAATCGGAACCGAAGCAAGTAAAACTCAGGGAACTCTCCAGACCGATTCCTCCTGGAGGCATCTATCCTGCCAAAGAACATTGTAGGTTCAATCTAAGCTTCGTTGTTTGTGAAGATTACGATATGAGTTTGGAGGGAAGAGGCGGTTCTTTGCATTTTATGGCTTTGATTCTTGTTCATTTTTGTTTGTTAAGGTTATTGGTAAGGGACTAGGTTTACGCAAACCAATTTCCTGCTAATTTAGAATATGTCTGAGAAAGATAATCATCCCAAATTCGACATAAATCAAAGTAGGAAGAAACATCAAAGGCCTCTCCATGATGAGCTTGTAATCCTGCAAAAGCAAACTGAACAAACCAATGGATGAACCGAGATAGAACCAACTAACAAACCACAAAAGCTATTCATTCTTATTTCTTCACAATCTTCATTTGAATATGGTGCGGGATTTTTGTATGTAATTGTCTCTAAAACAGTCATTTGTTTGTCATTGTTTCATTTCATTACTCTGTTCTTAGTTGATCTTGTTGCATACATTTGTTATTAGTAGCTTTCTCTTGTATAAGAGTACCTTGTATTTGATTCATATATACAAAGGAAATATGATATTCTTTTCCTCATAAAAATCATTTAACAACATTGAAATTGGTCTCTCAAAACTATTGCCAGCAGTTAACTTGGGCCATCCAAGAATGTATGCCGAACAGTCCGAGATTCACAACTAAGTCGATAGCTTAAGGCAAAGGGTGGGTGCACTCTTGGCCACAAATTAGTCTGGCATGGTTCCACTGTATCCAACAAGGCCTAGAAAGAGTTACTAAATCATCCTTTCCGTTTTCCATACCCTCCTTCGTCCGTTAGGTTTACGAAATCATGCTTTCAGACACATCATTAATGATTAACTTGTTCTTTTCATGTGTACCTATAAAGCTGCCCAGGCACAAGCAGAGTACTGTTTCACTTGTGTTTTTCTTACTCTCAGGGAAAGGTCCTTCACGGCCTGCTCCAAAATTAATTGGGACATCATAGCATTTTGTCTGAACTTGGTAAAATTTCCCCTTCATCTATGATACACTTGCATTACAGTATATGCAGAAACTTCATTATCTTGTTTTTAGATTGGCCTGAATGTCTGGACTTTGCTCGATATTCACAGGATTAATCTGTCTATGAAGGATCCTTTTCGTTTCTGTTTCCTTTTCCTATTTTTGACAATGAATTATCGACTGCAGAGCCAATAAGCATGAGCCTACATATGCTAAAAAGATGGTGGATTTGTACAACCAGAATGGTGAAATTGATCGTATGCTTTACAGAGATAGATGACATTTTCACTTGTATTACTGGCTCTTTTGATTTTGGAGCCATGAAATAATGTCACCGGACTTCAAGATTCTTGCTGTGAGCTTTGGTTCCACTACTTTTTTCTTGTTTCATGCCCTGAATCATCCACCTTTTTCTATGGGCTATTTGGGCTGTTTATTGAATCCTTTCAACATGTAAGAGACTTAAAAGTTTGTCTCGACATATTTGTAGTTACAAGTAGTGTTTTTATAGGATCAGACGACAAAATGTAGTAAAGAGCATTTGCTCAATTTACTTCAGCGTTTTGGAAGAGTGCAGGACTTTCTTTTCAAAGATTGTTTTTTTTGTAAGATAGGCATTGTGAGATACCACATCAGATGAAGAGGAGAATGAAACATTCCTTATAAGGGTGTGGAAACCTCTCCCTAGCAGACGCGTTTTAAAAACCTCGAGGGGAAGCCCTAAAGGGAAAGCCCAAAGAGAACAATATCTACTAGCAGTGGGCTTGGGCTGTGTTACAAGCATGCCCTTCTTCCTGAATCTAGCTTGAACAAATGCACATCTCAAATGGCTTGACAAGTCCAAACAATACCCATCATAATAAACAAGAAATAAAGTAAAAGATTAGGAGTTGAATGAAAATTTCAAGGGGTTTAAAGGAGAAAACATGGGAGGGAAATAATCTCTAATAATGTAATATTTGGTATTGTTCATAAATGTCAAATCAGAACAAAAAAGAAACTTAATAAAGTAGATGAAGCCTTAATAAAAGGTGTATGAAGGATATACCATGGTTTCTAAACCAGTGAGTATTTCCTCAGACTCCTGAACTTTGTGCTGGGTAATGGTAAAATTGTCACTTACCATCATTATCCCAACTGAGTTATTTATCATTTATTACAGGAAGGGATGGGCTTTTGATGAAGAACTAGGAAAATGTTATGGGTAGTTACTACCCCATGTGTTTTCTTCTCTATGGTAGCTTGATGTCTCTGTAAGAGGTTGCATGGTTTTATGAGAACATTGGAAGCTCTAGTGGGATTTTGACAAAGACTGCAGGTTGGACTTCATGTTGTTTGGCTTTATGTATTGCAATAAACTAGAACATTAATGTCTACTTGACTGAAATATATAATCAAACGGATGCAGATAACATGTTCATGAAGGATCATGATCAGTTCGAATTACAAATTGGTTCCTGAAAAGCTTTGAGTTTGTGGTGCTGAAGAACATTTAAATGGGCCATGGAGTTATATCACTATGTTTGGTTGAATCAACAGCATGGGAAGTCATATGGGTTGTCTTCTCCTTTAACGTTCCCCACTCGAGAATTGTCGCGTCTTTGTTCTTAAGTCTTGAAACTGTTCTGACTCATTGAGCTCTCTAGCGCACACAAAACATCTTATTTGCAATGTAGAACCTTATGTTCAAGAAATGTGAGTCTTTTGTTATGGTTCATTTCATTGGCTGTGAATTCTGATTTGTGGCTTGTTTTTTGTGTCAGTTGAGAAAGATGCATATGGACTATGGGTTTCAAGCAGAGTAAAAAAGAGGGAGCATTGCATTTATCAGGTACTGATTGGTTTGAAGGCTTAGACTTTTATTTGTGAGATCCCACATTAGTTGTAGAGGGGAACGAAGCATTACATATAAGAGTGTGGAAGTCTTTCCCTAGTAAACGTGTTTTAAAACCTTGAGGGGAAGCCCAAAGAGGACAATATTGCTAGTGTGGACTTGGGCTGTTACAAATGATATCAGAGCCAAGCATCGGGTGGTGTGCCAGCGAGGACGTTGGGGGGTGGATTGTGAGATCCCACATCGTTGGAGAGGAGAATGAAACATTTCTTATAAGGGTGTGGAAACCTCTTTCTAGCAGACGCTTTTTAAAACCTTAAAGGGAAGCCAAGAAGGGAAAATCCAAAGAGGACAATCTGTTAGTAGTAGGCTTGGGCGGTTACATTATTACCGTTGAAAATTTGGAGTGGTTAGAGAGATTTGTTCACATGTAGAAACTAAGAACTAAGATAAGGTTTACACTTCTCTGCTCAGACCATGTGCAAAGCAACATGGAGACAGAAAACCCTGAAACCCATTTTTTCATTGTGAGACCAAAACTGAGATCCCTTAGTGGAGATTTGTTATGTTGGGGGGAATCATGGACCTGAGGGGCCACATTTTTGTAAACGGACCCATTGTGGATCCACTGTGGAGCCCATTAAATGCTATTTATTATCATTTCCTAGGTGGGTCAGGTTGTGTTGGATTTACAACAGAGAGGAAAGAAAGTTTACAATTACAACAAGGTAGATCCAGAAGGAGATAGTCAATAGGACAGAAAGAAGAAAAAACAATAAGCCTCATCTTCCTCTATACAGAAAGGAATTCGTAGGGGGAGGAGGGCTCTGCTAATGTGTTTCTTTTGTTTTTTTTTTTGTTTTGTTGGTTTACTGTTCTTCACAAGATGAACCCAACACTTTTATTAGAAATGTGAAATGCATCTTCTATGGCGAGCTGCCACAGATTTTCTCTTCTGTTTTGTTTCTTCTTTCCAACTCTTGGCAATGTCCTGAGCTACATTAATGGCGTCCAATGAAGCTCCTGATAGGCCTCTTCTTGTGAACCCAACCGCGTAGAGTCCTGCTTTGCCTTTCCACCCATTTGGGAATGGACTTTTTGGAATCCCATCACTGGAAAAGAACTCATTTTCCTGTGCAATAAAATACTCTAGGTTTAGGGTAAGGAACTAAACAGAATAGATCTCAAGTTGGGCACATATTTGGAAGAACTGAAGGGTAATGGTCCATAAAAGAGACTTAAAAAACTGAACCCAACTTCCATAACTGTCACATGGACTCTAAAAGGAGAGCCCATTTCAAATATTATTAAAAAACTTGCTGACCTTGAGCCAAGATGGAACATTGCTGCGATAGCCAGTAGCTAGAATTACAGAATCAATCTCTAGAACTTCTCCATTGACCAGCTCCACCGCACCTTGTCGGAATTTTTTAATTCCGGTCACCACCTTGATCTCGCCTGCTCTTATCTTCTGTAGCGCTCCAATATCTAACACCGGTGTCTTCCCAGCAGCGTTTTTCAGCTGCAAAGGCCCTGTAGATGGCCTTTTAAGTCCATACTTCTCAGTGTTCCCAAGAACAAGTCTGGCAATGATCAGGAGCATCTTGTCGACCATATGAAGTGGCAGCCATTTCATCAGGGAAATTGCAACTTCAAAAGTTGATTTTCCAAGTATTTCTCTTGGCAATATGTGAACCTGTGGATCAACATAAATTATACAACTTCCAAGTTAAATTTAACAGATAAAGCTTCGTTTTTAGATGGAATTGGAACGAAAAGTTCAACTTTTAAAAGTTTTCAATGCCTTTTTTGGTTAAGCTATGTTCATATTGAATTTATAAATCTACATCAGAAGTGAGTTGGCTTGAGTTATTTGATGTAACTTAAGTTGACTTACCGAACTTCGTACCACCATTGATGGCTTGGCGTCATGGTTACAAAGATCAAGTGAGATTTCCATGCCGGAGTTCCCACATCCGACAACAAGCACCCGTTTGCCATGGTAAGCCTCGCCAGATTTGTAGTCACAAGCATGCATAACATGGCCGCCAAACTCCTCTATCCCTTCAAACTCTGGCACAACCTTCTCAGAATTCTCGCCGGTGGCGACGACCAGCCATCGACAAATGTACTCAACCTCGGTTGGCTTTGGACTCAACGAAACGGTTTTGACTCGCCACAGACCAAAAGTTTCATCATACTTGGCTGACTGCACAGTCTCATTGAAACGTGGGGTGATATCAAAATGGTTGGCATAGGATTCCAAGTAGGAAATGAACTGAAACTTGGAAGGGTAAGCAGGAAACTCCTCTGGGAAAGGGAAGTTGGGAAGTTGACAGAATTGCTTTGGAAGGTGAAGTTTGAGACGATCATAGGTCCTGTGTTGCCAAAGAGAGGCAATGCAGTCAGCTCGGTCAACGACAACGAATGGGACGCCTTGTTGTTTGAGAGCTGCAGCTACAGACAACCCAGATGGTCCTGCTCCGACAATCACCGGTCCATTGACCCATATACACCGATGATCAAAGAAGCCATCATCAATGGTGTGAGCCAATGGTGGGATACTGATACAAGTACTGTTATGAGTCATAATAGTATTTGTGTGTGTTGTTAACAGGGATGGATAGAAAGAAAAAGAGGATAAATTTAAAAGGGGGTCGAAGAGAATAGAATAGAATATAGTGTACTTTTCTTTAAGATGGAGAAAACTGAATGTGTGGAAGGGGAAGAAGGCGTTGGAAGTGCTTAAATAGGCAGCTAAGAGAAGAGTTTGGCCAAATGAGAGAGAAGCATGTGATGTGAATTTGGAGAAACAAAAAGAAATTATAAACTTTGTGGTCTCTTTCTTCTGAGGTCCAAAGCATTTATTTTGTCTGATTTAAACCCATATTTTATGCTAAACAGAGAGAGAGAGAGAGAGATAGAGAGATTTTTTAATAGTTGATGCTTAGAAGTTGTAAACCAGGGGCTCTCTTGTGCTTGTATCTTGCCAAAGATTTTCTTTCAAACTTATTCTATTTCTTTCTGATTCTTTAGAGAATTTATTCTATGATCTTAGCTAGAAACTTGGACTTGAAATGACTCAAAAAGGAATCCATTTTTGTAACCATTCAAGGTTACTATTAGTAGAGATTGTCTTTTTTGGGTTACCTTTCAAGGTTTTTAAAACGCGTCGGTTAGGGAGAGATTTCCACACCCTTATAAAATATGTTTTGTTCTCCTCTCCAACTGATGTGAGATCTCACAATCCATTCCCTTTGGGGCTCAGCATCCTTGTTGGCATCAAGCCTCGTGTCTTCGTGTCCACCCCCTTTCGAGGCTCAACCTTCTCGCATTGCCTAGTGTCTAGCTCTGATACTATTTGTAACGGCTTATGCCCATTGCTAACAAATATTGTCCTCTTTGGACTTTTCCTTTTGAGCTTTCCCTCAAAGTTTTTAAAACGCATCTACTAGGAAGATTTCCACACTTTTATAAAGAATGTTTCGTTCTCTTCCTCAATCAGTATGAAATCTCACCCTTCTAGATTTGCTTCTGTATTATGCTCTTTTAGTGTTTGAAAGATTATTGTTAGTTCTGGTAATGATGGTAAAATGATGGGTGATGGAATACCTCTGGGTTGTCTATTTGATCCAAAAGCTTCCTGATGATTGAGATATGTGGAGGTCTTGATCATGAGTCACCTGTAGTGGTTACCATTGCTTCAATGTTAGTGTCTCTTTTTCTGTCATTTAAGTTCAAATGGTCCACACAGCATGTTCATGAAGATTCATCAATTCCCTAGAATCATCAACTTCCTCCTAATACTCAATTCTTGTACAATTTTTTTTTTGTTGGCCATCTTCTTTGCCTTTTGATTCGATCTGTCTCCATCTCACAAGTTATTTTTCGAAGTTGACTTCTAAGTCGGTTTTCTACCCTTTCTATTAATTGCAATATGCATGAAGAACAAGTAGCTATCATTTTCTTTTTCGAGTGTTTTATCCACTTTTTAACAATTTCACCGACTTATGTGTTGGGAATTAACTTTGATGAATCGTTCCTGAAAAGGAATATATTGATTCTCTCCCAATTGCGATGATTTACTTCATAGGCAAAGTATCAAGAAAAAGAATAGAAGAAGCGTTTTATCTTATTGATACGATCTTTCCACACCAATCTCAACTTTGTCTTTCCTCTTGTTTAGGTAGTCGAAAATTCTTGTTCCTTTGTCACTAGAGCTAAATTACAGTGATATCATATTAAGTTCTATACTCGTTTTCGTTTAGAAAACAATAACCTTGATATGATGTGTATATAAATACTACTTAAATTCTCATTCACACCCCAATGGCTTGAAAACACGACTCTTATGTTGAGAACCTAAGTATAAAAGATTAAGAAATTTTATGGATTAATAATAATAATTTGAAAAAAATTGTGCAAAATTATAATAATGTCAATCTTCCACCTTGGGTTACTCATAGAAACCTATTGGAATTTGAAGCCACCATACAAAAACTTTCTTCTTTTTTGCTTTGGAATTGCTTCACTTTTGATTCACAAAACTATCTCTACAATTGTTTTCACCCATGGTAATTTTAACCCTTTTTTTTTTATTAATATTTTAAAACTTTTATTTTTTTTTTTAATTTAAGAGTGAAATTCGACCCTCTAATTTTTTTAATTATAGATATCTGTCTTAATCAATTGAGTTTGTTTTAAAATAGAAATTTATTTGTATTTTTGACAAAAAAAAATTAATATTATAGTGACCTAAAATGACTGTGTGTTTGTCTAGATTAAGTTTGAAAAACGATATTAAGATATGTTGATTATTTTCCCTTAACGATTTTTTGATTCAATGGTAGATTTAAAATGTTTATAAAAAATTGAAGGGTAATATTGTAATTTTGAACAAATATAAGGGTATCTTGAAAAAAAAAAGGATATATATATATATATATATATATATATATATATATATATATATATATATATATATATTATCGGAAAATTGGGAATTTATTATATTCTCACCAATTAATTTGTATTTTTTCCACGCAAATATATTTTAGTTCATTTTTGGGTCCACCTCTACTTCCTAAATTCTTTTATTTATTTTTGAATGGGCTTGCTTGCTTAGGGATGTGAATTAAGAAGTTAATTAGTATCATAATTTCACCTATCATCTATGGATAAAATGGGTACCAAATTCAAGCTTATCCAATCAAATATCGATCACTATTATTGATATAACTTCGGGTCGAAAAAAGCTTCAAACTAAGTTTATGAAAGTGTAGTATTGTAGTGTTTGAATTTTACGTTAAAGTTGCGTACACGTTCTATTGGGTTGGGTTAGGTTAAAAAAAAAAAAAAAACTCTTGGATCAACTCGAAATTTTGGATTTGTTGGGTTAGTGATACGAGTAACCTGAATAGAGTTCGTAACTAAATCCAACTCAGGTTGAGTTATCGAGGTTGTTCTTTTTTATTATTTAAAAAATTATATTTATTCATCATACATGTTACATTAATAACCACAATCTCATACAACTCAAATATCAAACATTTACGTCAGAATGTATTATTAACATCTGTTACAAATGCTAAACATTCTTTATCTTTTTTAAAGTAAAGTAGGGTTGCATTGTACTGTAACCCTATTTTCGAAAAAAGAAAGTGTCACCTTGCAGGCCGAACGGAATTTTCGGCTTTTCAAGAAGTCAACCCAACTAAAACCGAAAAAAAAAATCTAACACAACTCAATCTTTATAGTTAATATTATATTGTTTAAATTAGGGATGTTTATATGATCCAGTAACCCGAACAATCTAAATTAAGGGTGTTCATATGATCTGATAACCCGACTAATTTGATCATTTGAAAAATTAAGTAGAAAAAATTTGGTTCGATTTGCGGGTTGACTTTTTTTTTTTTTTTTGGGTCACTTCATTCAACTCGACTAATCTAAAAAGAAAGTTACAACTCAACATTACCCTATTTTTTAACAAATTAAAAATATTTAATGTGTAATCGATGTGAGTGATGTGTTATGACTTGTAAATATTTGATGATCTTTCAAATGAAAAATACATTTTTTTTTAAAAAAGGATTCATTTTAGAGTCCATTCTAGACCTCAGTGTTAGTTTCTTTGTTCACATTTAATATTCATTCTCCGTCACCTTTTCCTCTATTTCATTGAACTCTGGAACATAGATAGGCTGGATGAGAATCTTCTTCCCCTGAACCTGTCGTCTCACGGCATTAAAATGCATATGTTAGGGAGAGGTTTTCACACCCTTATCAACAATGCTTAGTTCTCTCTCCAACTAATGTGGGATCTCACAATCGACCCTTTTTTGGGGTCGAGTGTCCTTACTAGTACACCGCTTAGTGCCTAACTCTGATATCATTTGTAACCACTCAAGCCCAACACTAGCAGATATGGTATGTTTTGGCCCGTTACATATCGCCGTCAGCCTCATGGTTTTAAAATATGTATGTTAGGGAGATATTTCCACACCCTTATAAAGAATGTTTCGTTTCTCTCTCGGTTGAAATTAAGTTGCAAAAATTACGAGCGGAATGTTTGATGTAATCTTGGCAGCCAAAAAGGTTAGAATATTAATGTCATATGATGGGTCACATGGAAACATGCATTGGGAAAGGCTAACAATCCCACCACCCAACACACTTTGAAAATGGAAATTCATGCCCTAATTAAGATCTTAATTCAATTCAATGCCTTCCCTTAAACCATATCATTATCAATAATTCCATTTTTTAAACCATTAATTGTACTATTCCCAAATAATACACGTTTCTTAATCATTTCTTTCTATTCAATGAATAGGAACGTATCGGGTTTCGAGATAAACATGTATAGATAGATAGATTAGAGTAAAGATCAAAGTAAATAACCCGATCGAGGTTTTAAAATTACATGTATAGATAGATGAATTAGAGTAAAAATCAAAGTAAATAACCCGATCGAGCTTTTAAAATTAAAGATGAAAAGGCAAATATAATTAATGTATCGGGTTTCGGGAATTATTATTATTATTTTTTAATTATTTATTTCCATGTGAACTGATATTTGAATAAACTTGTAAATCATTGATGGGTACCCAAACAAACAATCATTTGGCCTCAAATTAAAATTGAAAACATGAGGTTTCAATCATTTTTTTTTCTCGTCCAATCATTAATTTGTTGTTTAATTAAGAGATTATTTTGAATTAAAAAGGGATTTTAGAAAGATTGAAGAAAAAAGAAAAGAGATTAATTTGGAATGATTAATTTGTTGGGTTTGAATTTGTGAATTTAAATAATTTAAAACTCTTATTAAATTAAAATTGAAATTATTAAAAGTTATGCAAATTTCGATGATTAGATTCGGTTGATGAAGGCTGCAAACTTTGGTTGAATGAAGCCAACAATTCTATTAAATCTTGCTCCTTCAACTAATCCCTATATTCTAATCGTCTTCTTCGATGGATTAAGTGAATCGGCTCTATTCTTTATGGATCTTGTTCTTGAAAGTTAGAACCTGACCTTGCACCGAAATAAGATGACCTAACAATAAGGTTAGGTTAGGCTTTTCCTTCGAAGTTGAAAAGAATTTCTTCTCGATTCGATGTAGATCAAACGCTCTCTCTTATATAAAGAGATCTATTGATTGAATATGACATACCTCTCTCGATCCATGTTCTAGAAAAAAAAATGATTATTTTTTTTTGTATGAACAACAAATAATAATAAGTTGAAATTATGACAATAATTTTGACATTTTTAATTATTAATAGTTTTTTAATGCTTCATATTAGAGATATTCTCCTAGATATTGAGTACCCATATGAAATGAGTCTATATAATTATAAATCGAATTGTTCTATATTGTTTCTCGTGATATGAGTTTTTTCGT